CTGAAAGACTCCACCCAGCAGGGTATTAAGGCAGATGCTAAGACTCATAGCTAAACTTTGGGCAGAGTGCAGTGAATCTTATGAAAGAAGGGGGAGACAGAAAGACCTGGAGGGAACAGGAACTCCATAAGGAGAACAACAAAATCAAAATATCTGGGCCCAGATATTTTGATATAATTCTGAGACTGATACTCCAACCAAGGACCATTCATGGAGATAACCTAGAACCCCAATACAGATGTAGCCCATGGCAGTTCAGTGTCCAAGTGGGTTTCATAGTAATGGGAATAGGGACTGTCTCTGACATGAACTCAGTGGCTGGCTCTTTGATCACCATTCCCCTGAGGGGGATCAGTCTTACCAGGCCACAGATGGAGACAATAGACAGTACTGATGAGACCTGATAGGCTAGGGTCAGATGGAAGGGGAGGAGGACCTGCCGTATCAGTGGACTTGGGGAGGGGCATGGGAAGAGAAGAGGGAGGGAGGGTAGGATTGGGAGGAGATGAGGGAGGGGGCTACAGCTATGATAGAAAGTGAATAAATTTTAATAAATAATAAAAAACAAGGAAACCATGAAATTTGCAGGCAAATGGATGGAACTAGAAAAGATCATCCTGAATGAAGTAACCCGTTAGCAGAAAGACGCACATGGTATGTACTCACTTATAAGTGGATATTAGATCTATAGCACAGGATAGCCACACTATAATTCACAGATCTAAGTAACAAGGAGGGCCCAAGGGAGGATGTTTGAATCTCACTCAGAAGGGGAAATAAAATAGAGTGCAAGTGGTTGAAGAGAGGGAAAAGGATAGGAGAAAGAGAGAGTGCTGAGAGAAACTAGGGTAGGGATCAGATGTGGGGAGAGGGGTGGGAGGACAGAAGGCTTGCAAAGAAAAGCAAAACTGTGGACTCCGGGGAGGATATGGAGTTGTTCTAACTGAGACCCGTAGTAGCCAGGGTCATGGAGACTGAAGAGGCCACCATCTAATCAGACAGGATACCTACTGAAGGGAGAGGAAGGCTACACAGAGAAACCAGGCCTAGGAAAAAAACCACCACCACCACCAAAACAAACAACTCCAAACAACAAACAAACAAACAGGGAAGTAGGAAAAAAAAACCAGAAAAAAGCAAGTAAGCTAGGATAATAAAGGGGATTAAAAAAAGAGGGAAAGAGGGGGAGGAGGAGGAGGAGGGCAGGGGAATATAGAGGGCACGCTCAATGTATGGTACATACTCGTATGAAAATGGCCTTATGTGATAAATACTATGCATAATGAGCATATACCATGAAAAATTAAAAGAAGACAGATAATTTCAGATTCTAGTTACACAAGCTATTCAACCAGAACACAAAGGAATTGTTTTGAATTAAAACATAGCCCACAAAGAACTAATTATGAAACTTAGCAATTTTGTCACTGGGAAATTGACAAGTGTAGCTTTGAGTGGAATGGGAAGAACAGAGCTACGAGACTGGTTTAGGATATCGCAGATCTCTCTACTAAGGAGTAAAATTGGAGGGAACAGGTCTGGAGGGATGCAAGAGGTCAGCAGTGCTTTTTTGTTTTGTCTTAGGGGAGAGGAAATCACAGGTTTCCTGTGTGCTGACTGTAAGGATCTGATAGGTGTGGATGCCAATGATGCAGGAGGGAGGAGGACCATTGCTAGAGAGATGCCCTCAAGTAGGAAAGAAGGTAGGAGCTTGCAGTGATGCGCTGGGACTGGCTGCAAACCCAATCGTCACTAAACATCAAGCATTACACAGTCGTAGTTAAGAAATTATGTTCTAAAGGGTAGTGCATATTCAAGACATATAACTCTATCTATCTCTCTATCTATCTCTCTATATCTATCTATCTATCTATCTATCTATCTATCTATCTATCTATCTATCTATCTAT